AATTTGCAATATCAGGGCCCTGTTTCCAATAACATCGCAATTTGGGATTGAGGTAAGTTTGTGATGCGGCTGTTATGTGGTGGTGTAGCAGTCTGACCATTTGGGGTCGGACGAAAAAGACGCCATTGCGGGATCCCTTTCCGAGACAGGAGCTTTGTTGTTGTTGCTGCTGTTGTTGCTGTTGCTGTTGCTGTTGTTACTGTTGTTTTGATGTTGTTGTTTTTGCTGTTGTTGTTGCTGTTGTTGTTATATGTGTCTTTCGAAATGTTTGGAGCCCCGAAGAGCGTGCTCTGCGCCAGGGCCACCGCCTCCCTTGGGTAGCGGGGTGAGGCAGTCCAACCTCCCTGAATCCTCCCCGAAGAGAAGCCACCGCCGGACCTCCGTGGCGGGCATCTCTGCAGCCAGTGCTCCAAATCTTGGGGTTCTTTGCTGCACATGTTGTTTTTGTTGTTGTTGTTGCTGCTGCTTCTGCTGCTACTTTGTGTTGTTTTGCTTTTTTTATTTTTTGATCAAGTATCCCTACCTGTCTGCTAGAATATTTAGTGCAGTATCATGCTCTCAGCCCGTGTTGGCCCTGATTGACCAGGTCGAAGCGGCCGGCCTCCTAAATGATCAAAATTGTGTTGGAGGGGGGCGAAAAACATCTACAAAATTCCATTATAAAATATGAGGCGTTCTGACAAAATGAGTTACTTCTCTCAATCCACAAATGGAGATATTGGCAAAAAATCAATCCTAAGGTCAACTTAATAGATTATATATTGATGCAACATTCTTTAAGTATAACATGCCCTTTGTTATTTCATACTTATAAATTACAAAAACTTCACCTATAAGCATGATGTGTCTATTTCCATGGGGCTCAAATCCAAAAAGCAACTCATTAGACTACCGGACTCGTAATCGTGAGGTTGCGGGGTTCAGGGGTTCGAGCCTCGGGCCTGACGTTGTCACCATGGGAAAGACACTTTACAGGAATTGTCCTCACTTCACCCAAGTGGGAATGGGTACCCGGCCATAGAAGATCTTGTCAAAATGCTAATGTTTTAGCGCCTATAAATGGCTGCTTGCACTGTATGCTTCCCAGGAAGTTGAGGTTGTTTCAGACTGCTCTCAGTTTTGCTGGAGTAATACTAATAGTATAGATTGTGAGGCGCATAGAGCTGGCTGTTGAGCGGGGCTTTGCGCTATACAAATACTATCTATTATTGTTATTAATTAAAATTCTTTCACAGCTTCAAATTGGTTGTACTGTTCCCGGGATTATGCACCCCGCGTAATTTAGCAAAATTTGATCATTTTTGCCTAATATCTGATTAATTTCCTTTATCATTCTTTGTTTAAAATTAATAGAATCGCATAATTTCACATTTTGGGGCTCAGTTTTTAGTTTTAGTAGAGGCGCTCGCAACTGCATAATGTCATATGTGGGCTCAGTTTGCTTAATTTCAGAATTAAGTTTTTTGCATAAAACCGCAGGGACAGGTTGTAGATAATATTACTCTCCTGCATCAGACCAGAAGGCGTCGTGTCATCCCACATAACAGTAGTTATGTCAAGTGCAGGTTACTTTTATCTTTACTTTTTCCTTCATCCTGTAACGTTTGATGTCGAGTGGGATCAAATTGGTCGCTTTTAAGGACAAGCGGGCAAACCCAGGTTTTGGGGGGTTCCAGAAATCTTGACCTGCACCAAAAGTGCATACTGCCTTACTTGTAGGCGAAGTTTTTATTTCATTGGTGTGTATATTTGTTTCATTATAGAGAAAACTCTCCTTGTTTTTTAAAGAAACTTAACAAGGGGCACACTTTACCTTCGATTTTCTCAAAACAGCATTTTTCTGGATAGCCCCTTGAGCCTAAAAGTAAAAAAAATTTGGTTTGTTTAGTAAGAGTTTTACGGCACTCACAATCCTTATAATACCATGTTCAAACTCTGTGTCAAATTTTGTGTGTGTATAGTCCTTATACAAAAAATCAATACACGCAGTGTGTAATATGTTACTGTAAGGCTTCACAAATTAAAAACTCTGAAGCCAAAAGAGAAGCCCGCAAAGCTGCGCACATCCACGAAAGGCAATGTGAAGCTTTTTAAGAAGGCTCAAAATGTGGCAACAAACACTTCTATTATTTCGCTCAAGTAATATTTTCTTCTACAGATGCACAGGTCATGGTCAGACATTGTAACGACGAATTATTATTACTATTATTATTATTATTATTATTATTATTATTATTATTAAAATTATTGTAATTATCATTATTATACTATGATAATAATAATAATAATTATTATTACCATTTTCATTATTGTTATTATTATTATTATTAATTTGTTATTATGGTTATTATTATTATTACTATTATTATTATTACTGTTATTATTATTATTATTATTATTATTATTATTATTATTATTATCAAAGTTATAGGTGATATCCGTATAATTACTATTGTTACTGATATTGTTGTTACTGTTATCATTATCATTATTAGTATCA